CTTCCTCCTCCTCCCTCCCTCCCTAGTTATAGTTATTAGAGAGTAGTTAATTTTTAGGTGTTTTAGTTGAATTTGTAGGTGTTTTAGTTAAATAATGTAGGTGTTTTAGTTGAATTTTTAGGTGTTTTAGTTAAATTTGTAGGTGTTTTAGTTAAAAAGGTAGGTTCTTAGAATAATGTAGGTGTTCTTAGAATAATGTTGAATTTGTTTTAAGTGTATTTAAAAGAGTTTTAGGTGTTTTAGTTGTTTTAGGTGTAGTTAACAGAATTTTAGGTGGTTTAGTTGTTTTAGGTGTGGTTAACAGAATTTTAGGTGTTTTAGTTGTTTTAGGTGTAGTTAATAGAATTTTAGGTGTTTTAGTTGTTTTAGGTGTAGTTAACAGAATTCTAGGTATTTTTTTAGTTAAAGCAATTGTTATTTTTTTAGTTAAAGCAAGTTTTCCTGTTATATGCAAATTTGCAGTGGACATGTCATATTTTGAACATGTCACATTTTGGACATGTCATATTTTTCGGAGTGGCCTATGTTTTGCCAGAAATGTCAATTCGTTTACGTTCTGGCAAATTTCGGGCGCTCGATTGGTCTTGTTTTTAGCAAAGGTCATGTCAAATTTTGCTAAGTGTTTATTAATTTTGTTTTCATAATTAAGCATTTTGTTCTCGATGTCGACGATGCCTATCCCGCATCCTCGTCCTCGACTCGGCGGAGGACTCCTGCTTGAGCCGAGGGGCCATGTCCGGGACTGGGCTCCGCCGGGATGGTACTGGGTTGTGCTACCTTCTGGTGAGCGCAGCTTAGTGAGGAGCCAGCCCGTCGTCGACCCGGAGCTTCTTTGGTGGCGGTCACGTGGGCCTGCATCGGTGGAGAGGCTTCAGTCCCCCGCGCAGGTGGTTCAACACCGTGTCATGGAAGAGAACACGCACGTCCAGCGCTACTTGGTTGCGTTGGCGAACGGCCGGTTCTCCAATACCTGGCAGATTATTTGGGGATCTCACCGGAGCTATGATCCGGTGATGGTTCCTTCTCTTTGGGTGTCCACCGCGGCCCACTAAACCTAGAGGAGCTATTATTCGAGATGTATTAGTGATATTATATGATAATCTTTGCTACAAACTACTATATATGTATTCGATGATGGATTATTAATTACCTATTAGTTATTTGCTTATTGAATGCAAAAGATGAGCGCAGTTTGTGCTACAAACTACTACATATGTATTCATGATGGATTATTAATTACCTACTAGGAAATGTCTGACGACGAAAGGGAATTCGCTATGTGCGATTACTGCGAAAATAAGCGCGGTATGTGCGACAGGCCTCACCTGGTAGAAGGTTGGCGCTTCAGCATCAAGCTCCAAGAGACCTTCGATGTTGATACGGTACGCAATGATGACAAGTGTTTTTTGTTATTTTTGCACTTCTCTGCTTCTTCAACGTGTAATTTCCGTCTTTTACAATTCGACTAGCTTATCCCATGCCATGCAAGACGCTATGTCTTGGAGAAGATGAGTTTTGAAGATCATGAAAGCACGGAGACAAAGATAATTCAACTAAGGACCCATCATGGTTATGATTTTGCTGTAAAACTATACAATTCTGTGAACTCATCCAATTTTGGTTGCCCGAATTGGGAAGCTCTTTCCAAGGCGTATGATTTTCATGAGGGTATGCTTCTCACCTTCGATCTTGGTGATCCTGACATCGACAAAAATGATATGACCATTTGGGTCCTTGTTGACACGCTTCCAGTTCTACTGCTGTGTGAGTTTCTTAAACATATTTACTAAATAATTTATATTGTTTATTTCAAAATATTTGAGAACTTATTCCCATTAACACCTTATTTTCATTCTTCAAAAAATGTATGAAAGATGGTAGACAGAACCTACTACTACAATGATGAAGCACAATTAAGTTATAAGGAGAAAGATGGTCTTATCACATTTTTTACTGATCTTGAGAATTACAATAGCTATTATCGAATTCCTCAAAATTATGGTCCATATGTGCCACTAGTGCACGCGGTGTGCTACGATAAAATCAATGGAGATATCATGGTAAAATTTTCTACTATTACAACATCCGTGCATCTTTGAACATTGCTAACTACAAAGTTATTACTATGTTTTTGAACAGAAAATCCCGATGGATTGTGTGCCTCATCTGATGTTGCCAAGAGGTCGCGTTGAAGTTATGAGCTTACGGCCACCACGGCCAGGTCAGCCACAGTATCCACATCACTCCTATCCATACCGGATTTCTAAAAGCGAGGAAGCAATGATAATAAATGATTGGAAAAAATGTTTCAACCATCGTAAAGAGCTACTTGGAAGCAACATTATGCGTAGGCCAAGACTTGGAGACAGAATGATCTTCGTTCTTCATTATAGAGAGTTCAGTTTCCTTAATGAAGAGTCAATGCCTATCTTGTTTTATGATATTTTACCTAAGAGAGGGTAGAATAAGTCCTATGAGAGGAGTAGGTCCTAGGTAGAATGTGTTATTATATGCTATAATGTGTCATTGACGAACATTGTTATATATATGATGTCTCATTGACGAATATTGTTTGGTGGTGATGACTACTGGTAATGAATATGCTATTTAAACAGACTAGTTCATGATGAGTTGTTATTGTATAAAAGATATATCTGTTTAAACATGTACAACGCCAAAATATTAGAAAAATATATAAATGTTAGCAGTAGCGCTGGCCTAAAAACGCGCTACTAGTAGTTGAACTTACCAGTAGCGCTGGACTACAAACGCGCTACTGCTACAAAATAGCTGTAGCGCCGTAGCAGTAGCGCTGGTACCCGCGCTACTGGTAGCACAAAAACAAGCGCTACTGGTAAGCTTTTCTCTAGTAGTGTGATAATCAAGCATCTAATATTGAAATGCATCTCACTACTGAAGTATATGGTACTCCCTTCGTCCGGAAATACTTGTCCTATAAATGGATGTATCTAGACTTATTTTAGTTATAGATACATTCATTTTCTTCATTTTTAGGACAAGTATTTCTGGTCGGAGGGAGTATTATGTCAAATTAGTAGGGATGTTATTATTGAAATATATGATATATAAAATTGTAAAGCATCTGGTAACAAAGTGCTTTGATAACTAAATGCATCTGGTAATTGTGTTATTGAAATGTATGACATAAAGTGATATATGGATTTCATTTTAACTTTGAAAAAAATTAATTTGTTACGCTCATTTCAATTCCATAATATAGGTCTTGTTTGAAAGGTCTTATCATTAGAATTTCAAATATATAAAAATAAATAAAAATGAAATTCTGGTTTAGAAGATATGAAGCATCTAAGAAAAACACTAAGAAAAGAATGCTAGTGTTTTCCATGGGAGGTGGGATGGAGAATGGTAGAGCCATGCATGCATGTTGTATCCTTTTCTCGAAAAACTTTGTGGAGCAGACGAACCCAATGATGTGACTTAAATTTGGTATACTCGGTGACAAGCAAAGCAAGTACTCCCTCTATTTCTAAATATAAGTATTTTTAGAGATCCTATTATATGGACTACATACGGTTGCGGAGCACAATGAGTGAATCTGTACTTTAAAGTATGTCTATATATATCCGTATGTAGTTCATATCAAAATATCTAAAAAGACTTATATTTAGAAACGAAGGGAGTACATGGAACGCCACATTCTTGTGAGTCCAAAATGCTAGAGATGACTTTGGCATCATATTACCCATTCAGTTTTAATCAATGGGTCACATCATTAAAACGTAAGCAAGATGTAATCAACCAGCGATACAATTAATCAACACAACGGAAACACATACAATTGAACGGATATGTAAACTACACACTAGATCCTTCATTTACAAGTTCGGAGACAGCACATTATTTTTTTAAAGTTCGGAGACAGCAACGATAATTGCATCCAAACAAGCTCCAAATTTATTGCGTACGGAGTAGTAGTCCCTTTCCTCAGTGGTAGCCGATCGGCGCAGCTACCTCTCGCAGTGCATGCCCCTGGCAATGTATGTCCTGCACACATGTGATGCACGCATTTTAAGTGCAAAGAAGACTGCAATTGATATCAGCTTGGCAAATTTGACGGAGGCGACGCTTACGGAGGCGTAGTGGTTTGACGTCCCGGTGGTGCGCCTCGTCGGCGCGGGCACGTCGTCGATCTTGCCGGCCTCGAGGTCACGAAGGAACTCGGTGTAGGAGTGCACGGCCTCCTCCTCCAGGTACCCCACCATGCGGTGCGCGACCTTTGGGGAGGCGAGGTAGGTGGCGAGGTAGGCGTGGAAGAAGACGCCCTGGACGGCGACCACGAGCGCGCGCTCGTACCACCGCGGCTGGGACACCTCCATGAAGGTCATGAGGTGCATGCGCTCGTTCTCGGCCTCCTCTAGCAGTGGACGGATCCACCCGCCGCTCTGCTCGAAGCGCCGGAGCGACTATCCATGGGCACTAGCACCCTGGATCTGGACATATTTTTATAGGAAAAGCACACCCGGGTGAGGCGCCACAAATTCGCTCCCGTCAGGAGTCGAACCGTGGCCGCAGGGTTTGCCACCGCGCCCCTTGCCACTAGGCTACAGCCTAGTCCTCGTCGATGAAAAATGTACACAAATTGTTTCAATTGAACATAATTTCTATTTTTTGCATTGATCCACTGCAAGTAGCATAACAAACATGAGTACTAATCGTCTCACTTCAAATTTGATATGACAATTCAGGTTGGTCGGCGGAGAGTTGCATCAAATAGGTGGTCAAACCCACTCCACGCATCACAAGACCAACGCACTTAGCACTTAATTTTAATTATTTATAGTTACAAATTTATGAAAAATATATTAATAAAAGATTAAATAATCGAAGTACTATATATTTGCAAAAAGGAAAAATAATCATTTAAATAAAGTTGTCAAAAAACCAGTTTCAAAAATGGGGCAAATTATATTGCGTAAAATAAAAATGTTCACATATTCAGATAAAAATGTTAATATGTCTCCCTCCGTAAAGAAATATATGAGCGTTTAGATCACTAAAGTGGAGATCTAAATGCTCTTATATTTCTTTCGGAGGGAGTATGATTAAAATTATTCATTTCATACTTTAAAAAGTATACAAACAATAATATTCTTGTATTAAATTAGTTAGAAAATTCCAACAAAATCATCGGCTAAAAAATGTTCATATATATGAATAAAATGTTATTACATAGCACCAAATTATTCATGTATAAAAAAAATTAGATTCAATAGAAAACAATTACATATTAGTTTTTAGAAAAATCATGTTACGTTAAGATATCACGCATATTCTATATCATGTATAAATTTTTATGAAATTTTAGAAACATTAATAATTTAGAAAAATGATTAAGTATGTGAAATAGAATGTTTAAACACATATTTAGAAATATTTCATGCATGCAAAAATTTATATTCATATGCTAAAAAAAGTTTAGCCAACTTTTTATAAATCAAAGGAAAAAATACTTAAAGAGAGAAACACAAAAGGATAAAAAAAACAAATAAGAATAAGAATAATGGAAGAAAAATAGCAAAGAAAAAAAGATAGAGGATCTGCAGAAACTGAAAAGGAAAAGGAAAAAAAACATAAAACGTCACAAAGGCATTATTGAACAAGAAAAACTGAAGAAGAAACAAAAAAAACACGGGCTGAACAGGTCGGCTTGCATGTTTGGTCGTTTGACGAGGTGAGCTGAACTCAGTGGACGCTCCAGATCGTCGGCTGCCAAGCGCCCACGGATTCAGGGAACACAGCTCTGACTTGTCAGTATATAATAACCAAATGAAAATACATTTATTTAGGACACAAAACTGTGCTCATCACAACGAAGATGTTAGAAATAGATCCTAAGCTAACTAGGCAGTTAGTGTGTCCAAACGCCGCGTCCCTTTGAAAGGGTGCGAACTTGTAAACCGCCTTTGATAGGCGCCTGTTCCAGGGGTATAAATACCCCTTATTCATCAATGAAAATAACACTTGATTCTCTCAGTTCTTTACATCACGTTTTCGCTCAAATAGAAGAATGAGAAAAGAAATGGCGACGAGGAAGTAGTACCTGGAAGAAGAGGTCGGTGGGCCAGCGCATCGCCTTGACAGTCCACAAGGCCACCTTGTCCCCCAACGTGGCCGGCCGGTGGTGCTTCTTCACAGTGGCGGACCTAAAAATAAAATAGAGGGTGTGCACACTTTAAAAAATTTAAAGTCTGTTTCAATTCACTTGCATGGGCTTTAAAAATAAGCAAATGTTTACATGGTAAAAAAATGTTTTCCAAAAACCTGGGTGTGACACGGCACACCTGGCACACCCCTTGGGTACGCCACTGCTTCTTCAGATCGATGGACACGTCCGCCTCGTACGCATCCCACGGCTGCAGATGTGCCATTCACCCATGCATGCATGCATGCAGCTCGGTCAACACTTGCAGTTTGACAGCGCAAAAAAAAACACTTGCATTTTGAGCTCAAAGCCATAATAAGTGACGTCATGAACAATCAGGTGACAAGCTCACGGGCAAGTACGTACCCTGAAGCACGGCCACTTCCACTCGGTGCCGTCCTCCTTGACGAGCCTCGCCGGAGCCACGCCCCAGTAGCTTGCCGCCTCCTTCTCCCCTTTCTTTAACGTGGCAGCCGTGCGCGCGGTGCCGACGCCGAGCGCCGCCGGTGAGCAGCAGGACACGGAGAAGAGGTGCATCCCTAGCTGGGCCGTCGCCACCGACCTCGCGCCGCGCCGCGCTACCGACTGCACCATGGCCATTTTCTTGCCGAACCTGGACAAGGACACTAGTGTTGGTGTATATTTGGGGCCTATGGGTATGGGTGTTGGTGTAGATGAGGATGAGAAACGGTGTGTACGGTGATGGGTCTTATATACATACGCGGAGAGGGGAGAGAAGAGACGTAGGCACTTGCGCTTGCATGCAGTGCATGCCAAGTTGGCAAGTTTTTTTTTTTTTTTGAGGGGAGCCAAGTTGGCAACTTGAAGAGCATGCATGCATGCATGCATGTGCTCGGATCCTCTGTGGACCAGAGATTGTGCGATGTTACTTCGTGTACCAGCTCGTCACAGTGGCAAGCTGCATGGGATCGAATGGTGCTCTGAGTTGCGATGAAAATTTGAGATAAAATTGAGTTACATCGCCAGCTTAATTAGTTGGCAAGAAAATGGCCATGGCAAACACGCCAAGAATCTCTCTTAAAGGAAAATGAGACGTGGTTTCTTTTTTCTTAGCAGATCCGAGATATAGCTTGCGATGCTGTTATTGCGTGGAATGCATCTCGTACGGAATGATTTGCCTAATCCTATTGTCTCCCGTCCGATGCGGCTGACATCCGCAATGACAATTGTAAGAGCACTCCGGGCGAATTATATATTTCTTTTATAAGGTTTTGTACTGCAGTACTGGTATGGTGAAGTCCATCTGCAACATGAACATAAAAAAAACGAACAAGCGGAATGGAATATTAGTTGCACAGTTGCGTTCACACTAGTTGGATGCATGCCAAAGTGGGACGCACTCGCCATCATTGGGGCACTAGAGACCGCGCCAAGCCTTGGCGCGAGGGTGCCAGTCCCCATGTTTTGGTGAAGCAAGTAGTGCTAAGTTGATAAATCTATGTTTAGCGTATGAATTCCCTCTACATTGGAGTAAGTTCAACATCCAATGATCATTTTGTAAGAAGCATAGTTTAACACACGTATTCAACAAGACAACAAAGCAAGATATTATCGAGTTCAACATCCTCATGAGATTATGAACACTCAGTGAGTTCATTAGACCACAAAAGCTAATAACTACGACATTAAGTTCATTACTAAGAGCACGAACACGAGAGAGGAAGTACTAATATCAGGAACATAATAAGAAAGCAAAAGCCAGGCATAATGACGGTAGAGGCGGTCAAACTAAAGCCATAGCTATTAGGCATACTAATTAGTAGCTCCGTCCAACTGCCTTGTCGATCAACTTCATAGGTGCACTTAGATGATCAACCGCGTGGCCTTGGTGTGAAAGCAAATGGCGCAAGCACATTATGCTCTTGTGCCCGAGACCGTCTTTTTATTTGGATCGTCTCAGCCCATGTGGGAAACTAAAGCATGATGGCACGAACTTCAGAAGCTGTCGTGTACTCAAAGATGACTTGAATTCGATGGTTCTACAAAACAGATACAAATAAAGAACATTATCCTGTGGATAAGTAAGGAAAAGGGAACAAATAACAAACATCTACTTCGGATTAGCTAGTGTTAATAAACCATTAAAGATTGCTAAGTGTAAAAAAAGTGATGTGGATACTCTTTAGCCTATATAACCTACTCCCTCCGTTCCAGAATAGATGACCCAACTTTGTACTAAAGTTAGTACTCCCTCCGTCCGAAAATACTCGTCAGAGGAATGGATGTATCTAGACGTATTTTAGTTTTAGATACACCCATTTTTATGCATTTCTCCGACAAGTATTTTCGGACGGAGGAAGTACAAAGTTGGGTCATCTATTTTGGAATGGAGGGAGTAGGTGTACGCCATCCCTTTCTCTACGAAGTACAATTTAGCAGTCCTTGATTGTTACTGTTGAATCAAGAAAGCAATGCAATGACAAATGGATACATTGAACTACACAAAAGGCCACCAGATATCTCAAAGAAAAGATTGCTGATGTAAACATGTCTATGCCACAACCTATGGATATTTATTTGAGTAGATGTCACTAATTTCAAACGTTAATATCTGGTATAGGGGAAATTCATGTAGGTAGTAAAAATGTGGTGGCGGAACTGAATTACTCCCTCCGTTCCAAAATAGATGACCCAACTTTATACTAACTTTAGTACAAAGTTGAGTCATCTATTTTAGAACGGAGGGAGTATACAATAAATGCATATGCATATATGAAACAACGGCGTGTCATCCTGGCAACACTTGAGGACGTGGGGTAGGGAAGGAGAGAGGCCACAGAACACAGCAGCATTCCTATGTTTCCACAGGTGCCTGCAGCAAAGCAGCACCAAGCCGGAGGGAGAAGCATCGCCGACGGTGGTAGAGACGTCAAGTAGGTGGAGCTCCCGCACAGACGCATCGATGACAGCCAGCCTAGCAGCGGTGACTGACTGTCTTCCTGAGAAGCACAAACCGAAATATTAACAGTAGCAAGCTTTAAATCAGAAGCATTTTCAGCATTTAAAGAGCAGATGCAGCAGAAATAGATTAACTTTTTCTAAGCTATTTTGCTCCCTCACCTGCCTAATTGTAGAGAGATTCATCCGGGAAGATATTCCGGCCATCTGCGCCAACCGTAGCAACATGGACTAGGACGCCTTGTTCTTCCGAGAGGCACTTCCTGAACTCTTGCTCGTGTGGGCAGTCGACCATGTACAAGCGCCTCAATGAGCATAGGTTCTTTGCCTGATCCAGTGCTGGGCAGTCCTGCGCAAGCAAGTCCTGGAGCTTACAGAGATTGGAGATTGTCTTCAAACATGTGTTGTTCCTCACTTTGAGCCACACGGCTGCGGGAAGGTCGACGACTTCTTTCAGCTTGTGAGCACCTTCAATGTGGATTCTCTTCAAGTTAACAATCTTGGACATGTCTTGAGGGAGAGCTCTCAGTTTTGGGCAATCAAGAAGCAACAGACGCTTAAGGCAAGGCATCAGAGAGATATGATGAGCGCTATCGCTGGGATTCCCAGTTTTGAGGGACCAACTTCTCAAACTGAACATGCCAATGACCTGAAGCACTTCAAGCTTTGGGAAAAAGGCTGCTGGAATTCTGACTCCTTTTCCCAGGAGTTCTTCGCCAATGGACTCTATGGCATCTGCACCTTTAATCTTAAGAAATTGCAGTTGTGGCATCTGACCTGCAGGTGGAAGCTCTGAACATGATATGCACTCATCGAGGTGCATCTGACGCAAACTAGGCATGTTAAGCTCCGGTTTCGATCGTAGCCATTCTGGGAACATAGTGCCTGGGAACCCAACAAGAAAAATGTATTCTAGGCTTGGCGACGGGATGAGCATATCGTAGACTTGCTGAATTTTCTGAACCTTGTCGTGCGCATAGCAAGTTCTATCATGAGTATCTCTGTTCATTGTGCAGCGTAGTCCCAGTTCTTTAAGATTACGACTGTTCTTCAGTACAAGTTCGCCCCCTGGCATCGCTTCCTCTAGCTTACTAACCCAGAGACGTTGGATATTGGGGAGGCATCGCAATTCGTCCAATCTGAATCCAGTCCCGCTCTCAAAGACTCCTCTTAGGTTGTACAGCTGCTGAAACTTTGCGATCCCTTTAGGAACATGATCAATTGAAGTCTGCTCTAGGTGCAAAAAACTTATCTTGGACAATCTCATCAGACCAGCTGGCAGGCTATCCAATTGATGGCAACCAAGCAAAGAAAGGTATTCAAGGCTGATGAGACTTCCTATGGATTCAGGAAGTTTGTTAATCTCTGTATAGCTCAGATCTAGCAACCTCAATAGCACCAAATTTCCAACCGAGTCTGGTATGTCCTTGGTGCTTGTTCCACGGAGAACCAAGACACGGATATGCTCAAGCTTTCTGAAAATATCCCTGTGCATTGATTTGAAATTCTTGTTATTAAAAAGTAGGAGGCTCCTCAAGCACTTGTGCTCTTCCAGATTGGGTATTTCTTCTACAGCATGACTGATACCTAAGCGGCGGAGATTCGACATAGCATCGATTCTGTCCACATTCATGCACAGGGAGTGATCCTTTGTCAAATATTGTCCAAGTGACCTCAATAGATCATGCATCGTAGACACAGCCTTGTCTACATACTCTGGTACAGGTTGAAGAAGATTCCTCCGAACTAGCTCAAGGTAATACTCTTCAGCAATTTCATGTATTGAGAATCCATGCTCTTTCCTCACTAAACCTTCAGCAACCCACCAGTAAGCTACAGAATCACGATGGATTTCAAAATTAGGAGGCAGCAACGCACACCAGAGAAAGCACTCCTTAAGTTGAGGGGGTAAGTTGCTGTAACTTAAATACAGGGGGCCTCCAAGTTCTTTGGGGAGTCCATGAATGGACCATTTGCTATCTCGGATACTCTTCCATTCCGCAGTTGTTCTTTTGGTAGATAGCACACCTGCAACAATCTTGATGGCTAGAGGAAGACCGTCACATTTCTTTACAATTTCATACCCAACATTCTCGAATTCACTTATTTGCTCGTGCGGCTGGAGGGACTTCTTCAGAAGCAGCTCTAAACCATCATGATAATTCATTGTGTTTACTTGGTGAGTATATGTTGCATGCATTTCTGCCAATACATCCAGGTTTCTTGTGGTGACAATGACATGGAAATTCAAGGCTCTCCTGAAAGGCGATAGAAGAAGATCAATCCAGACATCAGATTTCCACACATCATCCAGCACAAGAAGAACACTCTTTCCATTGATAGAGTCCACTAGAAGTGGTAGAAGCTCGGTCTTGGTCTCTAATTGATCACACTTTTCTCCTGCCATTCGTATTGCCTGCTTTATCAACCCGGTCTCTGTGTAGCTCTGCGAAATGCACAACCATATACGGACTTGGAATTTCTCCCTTACCAATGGCTCATTGTAAATCTTCTGAGCTAATGTTGTCTTACCAATGCCTCCCATCCCTTGAATCCCAAAAACACTTGACCTATTCTCACGACAGCCACTGACAATCATTTGTACCATGTCCTCAACTGCCTGTTTGATTTCTGTTCCAACAACCTCTAGTTCATCTACAGGAGATGTCTGCTTTCTATCC